GCCACAGCATTGGGGAGAACTTTAAGCAAAGCTCCCCAGGTGTTCATACCCCTGGATTTTTGCCTTGCTTCTTCCCAGCCTGGTAATCAGTGACAGCAATGACCTGGGAAGTGATTTTCTCAAGCAGAAAATGCCCAGCCCCTTTCAAGAGTGCCAAGAATGTCCCCCAGTGCCAAAGGGGAAGGAGCAAAGCCCTGAGCAAAGCCAAGAGGGAGATGCTGACACCGGGATTCATCTTGCTTAACTTAATAACTGCGGACACCAACATGAGAGCTGCTCATCCCACACACCTGCCTGTGGGTAATGAAGAGAAATGGGCGCTGCTAGCACACTAATCAGTGGCAGGGGATCAAGCCTGAGCTGGAAGTGCTTGTGCAGGGAAGTCATGGCCATCAAACTGTCCGTGTGGAGCAAATCCCTGCCAGGAGTTTGGGGGGCAGCAGAAGGAAGGGGCCTGGGAGCAAGAGGAGCCTTCAAGAGAGGAGAGCTGATGTCTGGAGACAGCTGAGGCTGACAGGCAGCAGGACACCCTCCCTGCTCTCCATCAGAGCCTGCCTCCCTCCTCTGGGGGCCGGCCAGGAGGGAAGAGGGATGACAGACACATTAGCACCTTCTTCTTCATCTTGACAGCTTGTTTTTGTCCCAGCTTTCCCGTCCTTCGCTAATTATTTCCTTTTGATTTGGAGACTGCAGCTGAAACAGGGTGTCCGTGGCCTCCAATTCCTGCCTTGGGGTTGAGGAGGGGGAAAAATTACTGAGGACTCCGAGGTTGCTCTTGTCCTTGCATCAGGAAAGCAGGAGTTTGCCTCCAGAAACATTTGGTGCACGATTTTGACCACGAAGGTGGTGAAACCACCAGAGAGGCAGTGGATGCTCCATCCCTGGGGATATTCTGGACCAGGCTGGATGAGGCTTTGAGCACCCCTGTCCATGGCAGGGGATTGGACTTTAAAGGTTGCTTCGACCCCAAACTGTTTCATGATTCTATAAAATCTTCAGGCCAGAACCTACCCAGGGATCTGGGGCTGCTCAGGGAGACCAGAAAGTGGACAACACCTGGAGTTACTCAAAAACCAGCGTGAAGATATGCATGGCAATCTAAAAGGAGTTTGTTTTCCAGCCTGGAGGGCCCCTCTGGACACAGAGCATAAATCTCTGAGATGCTCCTTTAAATTAATCCATGGGAAGGGACTCATGAAGCAGCAGAAGGTCAGCGAGGGTGATACAGACCAGTGGTTTGGAGAATCCTTGTTCTGGATGATAACTGCAGATCAGGAAGGAAAAGGGCACAGGAGAAGGAGTTGGTTTCCACCAGGAAGGCTGAACACAGCACAGCACAGCCCCTGAAGGGTGTAAAACATTCCTCTGCCCCATTCCAGCCCTGCCACCAGCATCCCTCACAGATTTGGGGCACCACAAGCAAGCAGCCACAAAGATCAACTCCCTGCCCTCTCCCAGACCATCACAGCACACACAAGACAGCAAGACAGCACCCAAGGGAAGTGCCAGCAGCCCAGTGCCCCTCTCCCATGGGACATGAGCTAGGCTGAAAGGTGCCTCCACCCCATAGCCTCCCGGCCAGCAGAGCTGCAGTGCCCCGAGCGACCAGCTCAGAGGTTCTCCAGACCCATACATTTGTATTAAATGGTCTGTTAGAGATTTGCTGCTGGTTTTCAAGCTCTGACAGCCTTGTTTTTATTTCAGTTGCCTTTGAGCCACCCCGGGAAATTTTCATATATAAATATGGAAATATGCAAAACCCCGCGGATTTATAGGATCCGACACTGTGCTTTAAACGAATCCCCCGTGAGCTCATCTTCTGCTGGGCCCCCTCCCACAGCACCCTGTCCTGCTGTTGGCCACCCCATCAGGAGAGATAATCCTCCCCAGGCAGCTCTGAAGCACATCCACACTGTGGATTTTGTGTGCTGCCTCCCAGCCCACCAACATCCCACCCTTGCACAAGCTGGGGCAGTGCCATGTCGCAGACATCCTGTATGGAAAATCTTTTCTTCAGGATTCTTCCTCCTGAGAAGCTGAGAGGCCTTGGGAACAAAATGTAAACATTGATTATCTGCTGCTGTGGAATGCAACAGGTGCATCTGTGATTGGTCTCATGTGGTTGTTTCTAATTAATGGCCAATCACAATCAGCTGGCTCGGGCTCTCTGTCCAACCCACAAATCTTTGTTATCATTCTTTGCTATTCTATTCTTAGCCAGCCTTCTGATGAAACCTTTTCTTCTATTCTTTTAGTGTAGTTTAAATGTAATATATATCATAAAATAATAAATCAGCCTTCTGAAACATGGAGTCAGATCCTCATCTCTTCCCTCATCCTGTGAACACCATCACAGTGTCCTGCTTCTCCTCTCCCAAAAATGGGATCATGCTGTGCCCATCCCTGGCAGTGTTCAGGGCCAGGCTGGATGGGACTCTGAGAAACCTGGTCCCTGCTCACAGAATGGCTGCTGGAATTAGATGTTCACTTCCAAAGCATTTCATGGTTCTGTTTGGATTTTATGATCCCATTTTGAGCTGGATGGGGCGAGGCAGCCCTGGGGATACAACCACAGTGGTAAAGCAAAGGAAAATCCACACTGTGCTGCTGCAGGAAAAGCCTTGGTCAGATCCTGTGTGGCTTCAAAGGAGACAGACCCAAGAGAAAAATCTGTTGGACATGCAATTCCTATAGGGAATAAACCTATTCTCCCTGCAGCCCCCACCACAGGAATGCCCTGCTGTTGCTTCAGGGTTAAATCAGAAACTAAAAGCTCCATCTCTCACCATTTTCCATCCCTGCCCAGCTCTGCCTGAGGACCACAAACCTTTTGTGATGGGAGCCAAGGGCAAGATGAGGTTTCTTTCTCCTCTGAGAGGCAGACAGCAAAATGTATCACATCCCTGGGGACACAGGGCAAGCTCCCAGTTATTCTTTTGGACTGAAACTCCTCAGGATCTGTTTGGAAAAATGCCTTTCCTGTTTCTCAAACCACTCCTGGAGCAGCTACAAAATCCAACCCTGAGCTACCAATGGCAGAAAATTCCCCTGAAACCTCATTTCCCCTGGGCAGGAGCACAAGGATCACCCAGAGAGGGGCAGGGCTAGGGGCTGATCCAAGCTGCACAGCCACTGCCATCCCACACACATTAAAAACCATGCTTAAAAAAATTAAATAAATCAATCAAAGTTTAAATAGTGGTAGCCTATATGAGACTGATACATACCCTGGGTTTAAATGAGTGAAAATCTATTAAAAAAGGACAAAGTACTAATATGTATTTGTTAGCAGGGTGTTAAAGAAGAGCCAGGGCTGATTTCCTAAGCACAGGCAATGCCTCCTTTGTTTAACAAACAAAAAGCTCAAAATACAAAACCTCTTTGCCTGGGAGATGGCAGCACCACTTCCTCAGCGAGTTCAGCACTCCACTGTTTTGTAGGATTTTTTTTCCTTTTAGCTTATTTTCTGCATCAAGAGAATTTCAATTCTCTCCAAAAGCAACTTGATAAAGATGATAAGAAGATAAAAAAAGTGGGGGGAAAAGTGTTGGTGCAGCTTTTCCTGAAGGAGATGCCTATAAACAGCTGTAGTGGAGCATGCAATTCTTTCAGATAAAATGTATTCGTTATTTTCTTAGACACTTTAAATTTAAACCCATGAGTTCGGTGTTAGGCCTGCACTTGCTCGTCAGATTGACACATTCTGATTAACCAAGGAGAATTAACCTCTCTGAGTGCAGAAAAAGCTGATTATTTCAAATAAATCAAAGATTCCTTCCCACTTCAGCTCACATGGACAGTAGGTTATTTTAAGTCGATCCACACAAATACTTTTTTGGCCGTACATGGCCTGGCATCCGTGGCTTTGCCAGAATTCACTGGGGGGAGTCTGAGGAAGGGCAGAGCTCTCATGATCCCC